TTTTTTTTGAGACAGGTTCTCACTTTATTGCCCTTGGTAGAGTGCTGTAGCATCATAGCTCACAGCAACCTCCAACTCCTGGGCTTAGGTGATTCTCTTGTCTCAGCCTCCTGAGTAGCTGGGACTACAGGCGCCTGCCACAACGCCTGGCTGTTTTTTGTTGCAGTTTGGCCAGGGCCAGGTTTGAACCCGCCACCCTCAGTATATAGGGCTGGCACCCTACCCACTGAGCCACAGGCCACAGGCACTGCCTGACATTGAGCATTTTTTCATGTATCTGTTGGCCATGCATCTGTATGCCTTCTTTTGAGAAATGTCTGCTGAAGTCTGTCTCAGTCCATTTGTGCTGCTATAACAAAATGCCCAAGACTGGGTAATTTACAGACAACAAATTTATTTCTCCCTATTCTGGAGGCTGAAAGTTCAAGTTCAAGGTACCAGTAGGTTTGATGTCTGCTGAAAGCCTGGTCTCTGCTTCCAAGATGGCACCTTGTTGCTACATCTTCCCAAGGGGACAAATGTTGTATCCTCATTTGGAAAAATACAAGGGCAAAAAGGGGTCTAAGCTAGTTCCCTTCAGCCCTTGCATAAGACAATAACACAGTCACTTCCCAAAAGGTACCACCTCTTAATACTAACACAATGGGCATTACGTTTCAACATGAATTTTGGAGGGGACACATTCAAATCATAGCAAGATCTATTGCCCATTTTTTAATTGATTAATTTGCTTTCTTGTGATTAAGTTGTTTGAGGTCCTTTAATATTTTGGGTATTAGCTCTTTATCTGAAAAATGTCAGTATTAAATGACATCTGAAACTTGTCTTTTAAATAAATTTTATTACAATTTTATTGCATATATTATTAAAAGACTTATCTATTGTAAACCTGTTGACATACAGCCAAAACTGTTTTTCTTGCATCTAATATCATAATGATACTTTTTAAATTGTCACTTCCTAACTTTAAACAATTTTGTTAAGCTTATGCCATTTCCTATGTTTTTGCCCTTTCTTTAAACTTTGCCAAATAAGGTATTTCTCTGTCCTTTCTGAAATGCCTTTTACTTGTATTGTCTCATAAAAATCATATGTATTCATTCCTACAAAATTGTAAGAGCAAAGACCAAAGAGAGAAAAAAAAAATGGGATTCCTACTTTGTCTTTCTTCATTATGTCCATTACAAATTCTCCCTTCCCGTACCTCTTATTCTATTCAGGCCCTCAATGGACTGAATGATGGCTACTCGCACTGGGGAGGGCCATCTACTGATTCCACTGGTTTAAATGCTATCCTCATATGGAAACATCCTCAATGACACACCCAGAAATGATGTTTAATCTGGGTACCCCATGACTCAGTTAAGTTGGCACATAAAATAAACAGTCACACCCTCTAAACAGATACTTTAAAACATGACCCTTATAAACCCAAGAAGTACATTTTTTGCTGTATTTATAAAGAGGCCACACCAGAAAGCACAGTTCAGCAAATTTAAAGAATTGCATGCCACGTGCAGTGGCTCATACCTGTAATATTAGTACTTTGCAAGGCCAAGGTAGGAGGATCACTTGAAGGCAGGAGTTTGAGACCAGCCTGAGCAACCTAGAGGGAGACCCGTCTCTACAAAAAATTTAAAATTAGCAAGGTATGTAGTGACTTGCACCTGTAGTCCCAGCTATTTGAGAGACAGAGGTGAGAAGATCACATAAGCCCAGGAGTTCAAGGTTACAGTGAGCTATGATCACATCATTGCACTCCAGGATGGATGACAAGAGTGAGATTCTTTGTCTCTTAAAAAAAAAAAAAAGTCAAAACTTCATTTGTAATTTTAAAAAGTACAAAAATAAAAAGCCTGTAAGCAACCTAAGTACTCTTCAACAAAATTTTAGATTATCCTACATTCAATGGGTAAAAGGCAGAAATTAGATCATACATGTGTATAAATCTTAAAAACATACTGAATGGGAAAAAAACAAGTTACATAAGGAAGCCTTAAAGTAGTTTTTATACAAAGTGTAAAAATAAAGACATACTTCTGTATTTTTATGGTTACATACCCTCGTATATGTATGGCACTGGAAAAGAATAAGTATGTACATGCAGAGTCAAATTATTTATAACATTTTATTTTCTTAAACTGGGTATTAAATACTGGGTGTTTTTTAGATGTCATTCATTATGACTTTTTGTATATATGAAACATTTTATTTAAAAAGGAAGAAAAATACATCATGTTTTTATTTTTCGAAAGGATGTAGTCACCAAACATCTTTTGTCAAAAAAAATCTATTAAGTAATTTACATGTTACATACACAAAGTGAAACAACTTAAAATTCTATTAAGTAGGCTCGGCGCCTATAGCTCAACCGGCTAAGGCGCCAGCCACATACACCTAAGGTGGCGGGTTCGAATCCCCAGCCCGGACCCGCCAAACAACAATGACGGCTGCAACCAAAAAATAGCCGGGCGTTGTGGCGGGCGCCTGTGGTCCCAGCTACTTGGGAGGCAGAGGCAAGAGACTCGCTTGAGCCCAGAAGTTGGAGGTTGCTGTGAGCTTTAATGCCACGGCACTCTACCCAGGGGGACAGCTTGAGGCTCTGTCTCAAAAAAAAAAAAAAAAAAAATTCTATTAAGTAATTTACATGTTACATACACAAAGTGAAACAACTTAAAATTCTATTAAGTAATTTCCATGTTATATACACAAAGTGAAATAACTTAAAATTCTGTTAACTAATTTACACATTACATACACAAAGTGAAACAACTTTGAAAGAAATAAAAACTATCAATATAGGCTATCTTAGCTCAAGCTGCCATAAGAAAATACCATGAAATGAGTAACTGAAACAGCGGGCTTTTATTTTCTCACCCATTCTAGAGGCTACAGGTCAAAGATTAAGGTGTCAGCAGAGTTGGTGTCTGGTGAAGGCTCTCCGCTTGGGATCCAGATGGCCACCTTCTTGCTGTGTCTTCACATGGCCTTTCCTTGGTGCATGCACACAGGGAGATCGCGATCACTGGTGTGTCTTCCTATAAGGATGCTGACCCTTCCAGATCAGAGCCCCACCCTTGTGACCTTGTTTAACCCTACTTATAATAACTCTTTAGTGGCCCTGCTCCCAAGCAGCGACACTGGCACTGGTGGTTAGGGCTTCAACATAGGAATTGGGGGATGGGGGGAGGCACATTCAACCTATAACATAATCATAGTCTCCTTTGGGAAAATACTATGTAACAGATGCATGAGAAGTTGTAAATAAAAGTCACCGGAAGCATTTTTCATCACCTTTCAGATTTAACAGGATACAAATAAATGATAGGTTTGGAGGTATAGACTCCTTCCTTAAATCTCAAAATTGGTTTGTTTTTGCCCCCAGACTGTTTGTTTTTACTCCCATCCTTCTTTGAGTGTTTTCTTATAGATTTAAAAATTAACCTTGTCGTCTTTAGTTCTCTCCACATTTTTCCAGTGGTATATTCTGCTATTTTATTTTTTATTGTTTTCTTTATTCTGCCTTTTATTTTTCGTTCTTTTCTTCTGTTTTGGTGGTTTTAGACTTGGAACTTTTTCCCCCTTGTTTGACTTTTAAGAGGTCACTTTTGCATTATTACAAAAGTTCTTAAATATTACATGTGACTGATAATTTCAGGATATCTTTTTTGGAATTTACAATGGTGTTATTTATATAATCTTGATTTAGTGTCCAGGCTTATTCATTGTCTGGTAGTCTTTTTAATTATTCCCCTCATTCTACTATAAAACTTATATTTTGAAATTATGTTGGTGTTATACAAAATATCTTCATTACCTGACCTAATTTGTTCTTTTTCCTTTACCTTTGTCCTTTATACTGTTGTATATGTGAAATTAACACTTAAGAATTTAATTTGTGTGTGAAAGTGGAACAATAAGCAATCATGCAATTTCAGGAATGGAAGAGAATTTCAGTGTCTTTGATTCAAGAATATTTTTTTAAATGCTGCCATAAAGTTCAGTAGCATATCTTTTTAGGTAGCTTATTGCTGAGATGATATAAGTGGTTCCCCTAGAATAGCCTTTGACTAAAGACCAACCGTATTGGTGGATGATGCCTGTAAGAATACGATTGGCCAAGCACGGTGGCTCACGCCTGTAATCCTAGCAGTCTGGGAGGTTGAGGCAGGTGGATTGTTGAGCTCAGGAGTTCAAGACCAGCCTGAGCAAGAGAGACACCCCATCTCTACTAAAAATAGAAATACTAGCATAGTGTGGTGGCACATGCCTATAGTCCCAGCTACTCTGGAGGCTAAGGCAAGAGGATCTCTTAAGCCCAAGAGTTTGAGGTTGCTGTAAGCTATGACAGCACAGCTCTCCAGCCTGGAGCAACAGAATAAGACTTTGTTTCAAAACAACAACAACAACAAAAAAAACTGCTATTAAGGCAGTAGTGAATACTATGGAGCAATAGGGTTGAAGGAACTAAGAATCGCTGCTTTGGAGAGGGAAAAAGGCAGAGATAGCTATATTTTTTGCGATATCATCTGACTGGTTTCAGAGAAGAATCATTTCTTGATAGCACTGCTTGTCTCAGTAAGGGAAAAGTGTGCAGATACACAGTTCATTCTTTGTGATGGGGAAACTGGCAGCATTGCTGAGTGGACATGAAACAGGAGCCAAAGGATGTATGTGGCTGGCAGGATAAGTGCTTAACTGCTCAGCTGGTGACTTGCCTCTCAAGGTATTTCATAAGTAGCCTGGTCCCAACACAGTGGCAATTACACATGATAAAGAGCTCGGAATCCATGTGGTTTGTGACCCAGTGAGGGAGGCCAGCCCTGGGAAGAACCATGGGAAATATCCAAACCCTGGCATGAGAACGCTGGGAAGCAGTGGCAGCCCCAGGGAACTGTTGTAATGAATTAAAATCATTCGATGTAGGGATTTTGAAAATGCACTGTGCTTTTATTGTTGATAATTTTTTGGACACTGAATGGCTCCATGATTTCCTGCAGGAGGAGCAGCTGAAGTCTCATGAAAGCAAGCTGAAGCAGATCACCACCGAGCTGGCCGAGCATCGCTCGTACCCCCCCGACAAGAAGGTGAAAGCTAAGGATGTAGACGAGTACAAGCTGAAAGACCACTATCTGGAGTTTGAGGTATGTGGGACCTCGGCATTAGCGATGCTCATAACTGAGTTATTCTATATGTGTCCACGAAGCATCATTGTTTTTACAGTTACTGTAACTGTGGGCAACGTGCCTTGGCCCTGGCTCCACCCTAGGGGCTCCTTCGCATGGGCTAGGTCAAGGTGGCCCTCGTGCTTATGAATCTATTTAAGTGCCAAATAAATATCAAAGAGTAATTCCCAATTTATGTACTTAGGGCAAATAGTGTGGCTGTTTGGAAGAGCACGTGCCTCCCAGGAGGGCAATGAAAGAAAGAGCAGTAGAGGTCCATGCCAGGGTGGACAGCTGCTTTCTGTTTCCCTATGTCTCCTCCTGCAGTTTGAGTTAAAAAAATAAATAAAGTATAAGGAATCAAATGAGGTACAGGGTGATGTGAAACATCAGCTTTTTCCTGCCTGTTCTTGATGACTCCTGGATTGATAAATTGTGGTACATCCATATACTATAATGAGTGTGGTTATTAGAAAGAATGGTGAAGGTCCAGGCATGGAGGCTCATGCCTGTAATCCTGGCACTCTGGGAGGCCAAGGCAGGTGGATTGCTTGAACTCAGGAGTTCAAGACCAGCCTCAGCCAGAGGAAGACCTTGTCTCTACTAAAAACTAGTCAGGTGTCGTGGCAGGCACCTGTAGTCCCAGCTACTCAGGAGGCTAAGGCAGGAGGATCACTTAAGCCCAAGAACTTGAGGTTGCTGTGAGCTGTGGCACCATAGCATTCTACCCAGGACAACAAGAGTGAAACTCTGTCTCAAAAAAATAAATAAAGAATGGTGAGGACCCATGTGCCCTGGCGTGGAAAGGTGGAAAATGTCAAAGCCATTGGCTAGCTATAGATTTCCCAATGTTTCCTTTGGCTAAATTTTCTCCCAAACTAGAGTCAGGATTATCCAGGACCCATGGGACTTCTGCCTCTAGCCTCTAGCCACCAACTTCAGGCATTTAAAGTGTTTTCTTTTGAAGTAGGTAGCATGTAGTCTAAAACAAATAATTCTTCACTTATTTCTTTCTTTGTTGGGTGTGCTGGCCCGTCTGTAGCTCTCCTTATTGGTTGTAACTCTGTTCCCTTTTATTTCCCATCATTCCTCTCCTTCATTTCCATCTTACCATCCTATTTCCTCTCCTGGCTTGAAACTTACAATCACCCGAGTGCCCCGATGCTGGTGCTCCGTCTCTGCAGTGTCTCACACCGACCCCTCTCTTCCCACGGCATTGCTTTTACTCTGCCGCTGCTGAGTCCTGGCTTGCTCATCTTTTACCCCACCTGTGTCTCCTTTCTTCAGTTCATCCTTTTGCCAGTTATTTCTGTGAGGCTCGACCCAGATGCTGGCCCAGCTTGGTTCAACAGCTATCTTTGGTTCCCCACCCCCACCTGTGTACCTTCTCAATAAACTCCCAGCACTTAATCTGAGAGTATTGCCTTCTCCAAAACATCAGTCTTTCCCACACCAGCGTCCATGTACTTTAATAACATTTCTTCCCACTTTCCCCAGACACACTTTGATACCTTTGTTCATCAAAACAATACCTTTGTTTGCTTTCTTCTGCTGCAAAGGCTCTTCCCACCATTCATTTCTAAAAGCCCTGATGGTCTTTCCAAGTACAGCCGATATCCCTCCTAGGAAAAACCTACTCTAAGTCTACCAGCTAGGATTAATCTGTCACAGTATTTGCTATGATTTCAGTCTATCTTTGGGTGTGTAGTGGATTCCACAATCCCTGCCCCTGCCTGAGACTGGGAGCTCTTATAGGGCCGGGGCCTCAAGTTCACTCCCAGACTTTCTCTGTGCTTGCTGAATGGGTTGAGTAGGATTTCATGGAAGCGTCTCTTATCCAATGTGGCATTTGGTTCAAAAGATAGCATTTCTACTACAGAGCCAACATACTAGTTTTCTTCATCATCAGACAAGATTGGCAAATGGCAATACCAAGTGAAAGCTTTCTTTTGGTAAAGGCAAAAAATTGTTAAACAGAAACTGTGAAAGGCTTACCAGTAAAAGACTTGGAAAAAAATTAAAAGAAAAGAGAAACAACAAAAAAATTAAGGTACTCGTCTTCCCCAAGACTCCTTCATTCTTGGGAATGAAGTTTAGAGTGAACTTGAGGTCTCTGCCCTGAAGAGCTCCCAGTCTCCATGGCTCAAAAAGCAATCATTATTCTTCACACTTCTGGAGTGGCTGGAAGCCAAGAGCCTGTTTCATTTTACACATGCTAATTAAATTTCCCAACACCTCAGTCTCTAAGTCTACCAGCACTCTGCACCTTGCTCCAGCTCTTGACTCTGAAAAGGAACAGCCCGTCCCTAGGAGATGGGGTGGCCATCAGACCGTGGGGAGGTTGCCACCACTGGAAGCCCTTCTGCTTTTGAATAGATAATCATGCACTTTTTCTGAGAACATAACCTAGCAAAAGCCAGGCCTTTCATCCTGACATGAATTTAAACCAAGCTTTGCTTTCATCACATCGTCACCTGGAAGAGCATGAAGATAGCATTCCAGGACCCTTGACTCATTAAATTCAGACTCATATGCTAAAACGTCAAGCACGTTGACTTACCTGTCAAGCTCATTAGCCTGTGTCTACTAGGAAGGTGAAAGGTACTTCATTTGGCACAGATGTCACCTAAAAAGAGTTTTACAAAAGTAATGCTTCTTAAAAAGTGAAGTGTTGGGCACAGTGGCTCACGCCTGTAATCCCAGCACTCTGGGTGGATTGCCTGAGCTCACAGGTTCAAGACCAACCTGAGCCAGATCTAGACCTTGCCTCTGAAAACAGTCAGGCATTATGGCAGGTGCCTAACAGTCCCAGCTACTAGGGAGGCTGAGGCAAGAAAACCACTTAAACTCAAAAGTGTGAAGGGCATCATCATAGTGCTGTGAGCTATGATGCTAGGGCACTCTACTGAGGGCAACAGAGTGAGACTCTCTCAAAAAACAAAACAAAACAAAAAGTGAATTGTTGTTCCTCACTAGGTTAAATTAGAATCGAACTGGTACAATCACATAAAGTTCCCTTTCCTATTATTTTGTGTCTTGTGAGCACTTGTGGAGAGTGTTTACACTTCATAAGCAATATCCCCTGAGCACGGTGCTCCACTGCCTAAAAAGGGAACGTGAGAGTTACCTTTTCTGTGTTTTGTTCACAGCTCAACCCCCAGCTTCTAAAGCATTGACTAATTGATAGATATACATTGAATCAATTAATGAAATTTTATTACTGCACATAAAAGATAACATCTGAGGAAGTAATTCTCTGAGAAAGCTTAGTATTCTTTTCGTAAGACATGCAGCGCCCATGAAAACAAATCCAATGGGCAGACGAGAAGAGATAGCAGTCTGCAGGTGGGCACCCTCGGATGGGCAGAGACAGGAAGAGGGGCTTCAGTCCATCTGTTATCATCAGGACAGAATCACAGACCTGAATGAGCTGTCTCACTTGTCCCTGTAGTAGGTCATTACCAGGAAGGCCTCCCCTGGTGTCAGAGCAACTCTTATAATTTTCCCAAGTCTTAGTAAGGAAAACCACCTGTCATTTTGGCAGAATAATTAGCTGTTAGTGATAACACCAGGAGTGTCCCTAACTTTATACATTGCATTTGTTTATATCCCAAGTTGCTTTAAGTACAAACAATTCTTGGTGGTGAGCCAAATTCTGTGCTCATTCTGTGTCTTAGAAATTCTCCAAACTCTGGCTGACAATAGTAATTAGAATTCTGGTAAATATATAGGTTTTTTTTTTTTTTTTTTTTGAGACGGAGCCTCAAGCTATCCCCCTGGGTAGAGTGCCATGGCATCACGCTCACAGCAACCTCCAACTCCTGGGCTCAAGCGAGTCTCCTGCCTCAGCCTCCCAAGTAGCTGGGACCACAGGCGCCCGCCACAGCACCTGGCCTTTTTTTGGTTGCAGCCATCATTGTTGTTTGATGGGCCCGGGCTGGGGATACGAACCCGCCACCTTAGGTGTATGTGGCTGGCGCCTTTAGCCGCTTGAGCCACAGGCGCCAAGCCAATATATAGGTTTTTAAAAACCTACAGACCACAAAGAGACTTCCATCTTGACCTATTAGGAAAAGTTTCACTTTTACTTATAGCAGCAAACTTCATTCGGAGTGGGCTATCTACATTGATAGTTAATTAGAGAAGAAGAGGGGGTTGCTTTGTTTCTCACTGAATTAGTACCCTGAACTTGTGGCTGCTATTTTCTCAGAAGAGTTCCCTTGGAATATAATCTCCCTTTTGAAAGAGTTGTTAGGCCTCTCGAGTCTATGTTGAAAAACTCACCATTTTCCAATTTCATGAAATAAATATCAGACGTCGCCACATTTCCTTATAAACTGACTAATGTTACTTTCTTCAGTTCACATTTTACTTAAAAATATTTTAATTGATCCCTGTGCTTCTGGTACCTTAACTTATGAAGATCTGAGGCAGATGGGTAGTTTGTATCAGACAAAAGAACATCCAGGGCTCTAGCCAGTCAAACCACAATAGGGTGAGAAGTGCTTAAACACCTGGCCCTTTAAGAAACAGCACCGTGAAAGAAATTCCCTTGATAGCAATGTAGTTGGCCCCAATGTTATGGCCTTATGCTTTTATAAAACAACAGCTAGAAAGAGAAGATATTGTTGATTCCAAGATATATTTTATGTACCACTTATGCTGTTTGCAGTAGATTGAGTAACTTGGTCTTATGTTGAGTCAAATCTGAACAGGGAGAGAGGGGAAGCTGCTGCAGCCATATTAACAACGGGGCTGGGCTGTGACCGATGTACTTCACCAGGATTCCTGAAAGTCAGGGAAATAGCCAGCTCCCAGGGGTCATTGTAGAGCCTGGTGGAAAACTATGGCCACATAATGCCAATGAATTTTCCATGCCCAGCAGACCTGATGTCAATGTTTTCTCTGGCCGGCATATTGCTGAATTTGTTTTAATTATAATATAATGCATTTAGAAAAGACAAGCAGTCTCTTTCCTA